ACATTCTAAGTTTTACCAGAAAACTTATATTAAAATACTTATTTCATACAAAGAGTAGAACGAAACACCCGTTCTCTACAACGAAAAAACAACACAACCAACCAGACTTAAACAATAAACCAACCACACACAGACACAATCAACCAATATGCATCACCCTCCCGATACAACACAAATATGGGAAAATCAAAATATTTGAAATACGGACGATTAAACCCTACATTCAAGTTAATATCTCAACAACAAGATATACCACGAACATAATACACACACCAACAGGAAGCAAAAACATTAAACAAGCCGCCTGAACCAACAGAAAAACGATTTACCTATCATAGACCTACCCTAAACACCGCCAAACTCAAACCAACTTAAAGAATCGAAAATACCGCAAAATGCCGAAAACACCAAAACACGTCCAAACACGGAAAAGTTTACAACCCTTCTAATACACACAATATGAACATAACATATACCTGACCATGAAGCTGACACAATGAACAAAACAACCAAATTAAAATTTCAACATCGAACTGACCATACCATGATGCAATTAACTAATACGCATACACCCTCCCGATAAAACACAAACATGAGAAAATCAAAATATTTGAAATACAGGCCATCAAACCCTACATTCAAGTTAATATCTCAACAACGAGATATGCCACGAACATAATGCACACACCGACGGAAAGCTAAAACATTAAACAAGCCACCTGAACCATCAAAAGACAATTTACCTACCATAGACCCATCCTAGTCACCACCAAACTCAAACCAACTCAACAAATCGAAAATACCGCAAAATGCCGAAAACACCAAAACACGACCAAACACGAAAAAGTCAACAACTCTTCTAATACACACAATATGAACATAACATATACCTGACCATGAAGCTGAAACAATGAACAAAACAACCAGATCCAATTTCAACATTGAACCGACCATACCCCGATGCAATTAACCAATACACATACACCCTCCCGATAAAACACAAATATCGGAAAACCAAAATATTTAAAATACGGGCCATTAAACCCTACATTCAAGTTAATATCTTAACAACAAGATATGCTAGCAACATATCACATATACCAACGGAAAGCTGAAACAGTAAACTTACCACCTGAACCACCAAAATGTAATTTACCTACCCTCAACCCACCACAGACACCGCAAACGCACACCAACTCAACAAATTGAAAACACCACAAAATGCCACAAAATACAACCAAACACGAACAAGCCAACAACCCTTTAAATACACACAATATCAACATATAACATACATGACCATATGGCTTAACCACAAACAAACCAAACTAAAATTCATCAATAAACTGACCACGCCTTTATGCAATAAACCAATACGCATAAACAACCACCCCCCTCCCGCTAAAAAACGAATACGGGAAACCTATTAAAATACAACAGAATGATAGAAATAAAACAGCATTATCATTCACAATAAAATCACAATAAATCACATACAACATTCATTCGGCCGCTGAGGAAGAACAATCATGGGATACCCCCATGAGTTCGAAACATCTTGGGCCCTTATAATGACCAACATATAAGGGAGAAGATCCGCTACAGGATAGGGAATAACACACCAATGTCATTACCCTAGGATCTACCAAATATACACTACCCGTCACATGAGTACTGACGGTGGTTAGGGGAAGCTTAGCTACTAGACCTTGCCTGCCAGGCCCCCCGACTGAGACCTCTCACCATAAACACAGATTGCATGACATGTGCGTGTTTAATACAGGTGATGTCTCAAGACATTGTCTAAGTCACCATTCCCAAAAATAAAAAAAACTTGATTTCAAGTTACTATGGCAACCATTTCTTATTCAATGTTTCCGTTATTCTAAATATTGTTAGCTGGATTAATAAACCATTCCATGCTGCACATTCTGTGAAATTTTCATAGGAAAATATTGAAAAATAAAGAAATTAGAGAGATATTATGAGAACTTTATGATCAACCCTCGTATGTCACATTGCTCAGCTTATGGACAAATACCAAGTATATTTCATCTCAAAAACGATCGGACACATTTTGTAGTAGAAGGGCTGTACCATCTTACCACACTTGGTGTTTCGAACATTTCTTATCAGCGTCCCGAATATTCAACAATCTTTTTCTGCCGACCCGGCAATACAAAAATATATACACTTTATAACCCTATGGAGATAAACACTCACTTCAATTCATACTTTAAAAAACAACGCATTTACTCACAAACAACCAACCAAACCAGGTTTCCTCAACCGGGAACCCTATTTAGAAACATCATATAAAACTCATATCAACAAACAAAACAAACGAAACAAATTTTAACAAACAAACCGACAAAATCGTGATCTACAATTCACCAAAACGCATACACCATCCCGACAAAACACAAACACGGGACAATCAACAAATTGAAAACACGGTAAGACAGCCCCCAGAAACAAGTTAATACCTCAATAACAAGAGATGCTACGACCACAACATATACATCGAAATAAAGCTTAGACATGACACTACACACCCAAACCGTTGAAAAACAACTTACCTACCACTTACATACCAAAAAAAGCCACAAACAAACACAAAATTTACAAACCAAAATACCACAAAACTCCGATAAAACCAAAATACCGTAACCAATCGCGAACGAGCTAACAACTTCCCCAACGCACACACTATCAAAATAAAAAACACCTCACCATAAGGGTAAACAACAAACCAAACAAACAAAACAAATTCAAGCAAACAAATTGACAACAACTTGATGCAATTAATCAATACGCATACACAATCCCGACAAAACACAAACACGGGATAATCAAAACATAATGAAATCACGGGAAGACAGCCTCCAAAATCAAGTTAATATCTCAACAACAAGAGATGCTACTACCATAACACACACACCAAAATGAACCTCAGACATGACACTACACACCCAAACTGTTGCAAAACAACTTATCTACCACTATATAAAAACGCCACACAAAACAAATAAAACAAGAAATTTACAAACCAAAACACTACAAAACTCCGATAAAACCAAAATACAAACAATCGCGAACAAGCTAACAACTCCCCCAACGCACACACTACTGACATAAAAAACACCTAACCATAAAGGGTAAAAAACAAACCAAACAAACAAAACAAATTCAAACAAACAAACTGACCATAACTTGATGCAATTAATCAATACGCATAGTTGCATACACGATCCCGACAAAACACAAACACGGGATAATCAAAACATAATGAAATCACGGGAAGACAGCCTCCAAAATCAAGTTAATATCTCAACAACAAGAGATGCTACTACCATAACACACACACCAAAATAAACCTCAGACATGACACTATACACCCAATTCATGGAAAAACAACTTTTCTACCACATACATACCACAAACGCCGCCAAACATACACGAAATTTACAAACCAAAATACTGCAACCCGACACGGGAAAACATATCCCCTGTCAAGTAAACATATTAACAATAATATATACTACCACCACTACACACTGTCACACAAATCAACACTAAGCTCAAACACAAGACTAAACACCCAAACCTTTGACAAACAGGGAACCCACCACAAACTCACACTACACACATCCAAACCAATTACCATTTTTATAAACGAAAATACCGCAAACTCCGATAAAGCAGAAACGCTACTAAAGACAACGAATTTACAACTCTTCCAATTTACATACCATGAACATAAAACATACACCACTATATATGAAACTTAAACACAGAACCAAACCACAACGTCATCTTAACCAAAAGTTATCTCTAGCACAACTGAATGATAGAACTAAAACCCAAACAGCATTCTTTCGGCTGCTGATGAAGAAATATAAGTTAGTAATCATCGAATAACTCGATGATTATAGGCAATGACACATCAATGCCATAACCCTAGGATCAACCAAATATACTCTACCTGTCACATAAGTACTGACGGTGGTTTGGGGGAAGCTTAGCTACTAGACCTTGTCTCCAAGACCCCTCGACCGAGACCTCTCGCCAGAAATGACACTTGTACTATGTACTGTAATGCGCCAGGCTAGCTGCGTTAGATACGCTAATAAGAGGCATTTCCAATGAAATCAGTTACAATGATTACTGGGATTGTTCACATACGGCATCTGTAAATTTCATGTAAATTCATCGCATTTATTAAATTCACTATCCAATAAAAATGTGCATTTATACTGTGCTGCGGTTAAATGGGAACAGATGATTTAAAACGAATTTCGAAAAACGCTTTGTTAAATTATTTGTTTCCGTCTAGGGCGACTTATTTAGAGAGTCTTATCAATTGTATAATAAAATGTGATGTACATGGAAAGCATACATCTTCATTCATCAGATGTTTATCGGGATGAAGAAAAGAACTTAATATCCACTGGGAATGAAAGATCGTGTAATTGTACGTTGAAAGATAATGGTTTTAAACCTGATTTACCATTTGCCCATCGGGTAAGTAAATGGAATCTCATACACTTACAATGTAACTACGTGAAACTATAATGTGGCGTCCGTGGAACGAATGGTGAGCGAAAGCTACGCGAATGAACCAACTCCGTGGTACATACGAAATTACCCCGCGATGAGCTTGAAGCGCACTCGTGACGCGCCCGCGGTGACCACGAAAAGCGTTCGATTTGACCACGAAATTCGGGCGGCATGCCGACGACATGGCAGGGTGTAAGGCTAGTAATTAGATGTACGGTAGTTCATACACTAAATTATACAGAAAATAAAAATTTGAAGCAGTTTAATCAAATATTTAAGAGAAAAGTAGATTGGATTAGATAAGCAGACGGATTGGGTTTATGCAGACGGACACTATATACAGGGGTAGAAAACACCCAATGATACCAATACAAACACGATGACGTACATTAGGCTGTTGGAGTTAGACCTTCAATCTAGGTGGTTGTGTTCTTGTTTAGGTTTCGAAAAAAATTAAACTGGATATTTTGGAAACTGAAAAATTTCTTCTTAATTATCAATCTACATGGATTAATAAGCAGTCATTGGATATATGTTGTTTAGGTTTCAAAAATTAAAAAACTGGATATTTCCAAAACTTAATATTTCTTACTTGTAAAACAAGACGGATTATTAAAAAATCATTGGATATAGTTTGAAATCGTAATTTGTAAATGTTATAATGCCTCGAGAAGTATTTGAACGTTACGTTGGACCCAGAGTAAGAGATATGATTGGCTGTCTGTCAAAAGATAACATTGTAAGTCTTAGTTATAGGAATATCAGGTCTTCCCTTTGTAAAGTTTGATTTTGCATAAGTAAAAGAAAGCTTCATCTGCATTCTATCAATTATGTAATTTTATATGTTTTGTATTTTTAGCACATGCGTGAAACCGCTGAAAAGCATCGCAGTTTGGAACAAGACCACCAGGTGGCGGTAGAACAGCTCAAGGTCAAACAGGAGGAGATAAAGATGTTGCAAAAGGTATGTAAATATGTACCCCTTTTGATCACCATGACGACCAAGACTATTCCATAAATTGTTTGCATCTGTGTGGTGTTTATCTAGATCATCATTGATTGGACAACACGTCCATGTTATTCTCCCATAGACTGGTGAGAATATTTCGGGACTTAGTGGGAATGGCAAAAAACAATTTATAAATTACCCCTAGATCCTCTCCCAAATGCCCCCACTCCATTCTCCATCTCTCACTCAGAATGCCATCTATTGTGAAAAGATGTGATTAAGATAATGCCATCTTTATGTAAAAAATGTCCAAATAATGACAAATGACAACAGGAAGAAAAAATATCTCAATGTTTATATTTGAAAATGGAAATATAACAAATCAAGTATGCAAAAACTTAGTTGATACGTGTGTAGTCAACATTCTAAATTATATTGAATTCCAAGAAAACTGATCACTTCATTCAAATATTAGATAGAAATTGAATGAAATATGTGGGCATATATCCAAATATGTTTTACTCTTTCAGACGCAGGTTGAGACAAGGAGGGAGAACGAGGAAGTTATCTCAACACTACAGGTAAACTACCCTTTTGAAAAGTTTGATTTGTCTCAGTTAGAGTATAGAAATTATTTGCTTCTGGCTCAAAGGGTACATGTAATCTTGTCCAGTGGTATCCCATCATTAAACAAGAACAGAAAAAATGGAAGCAGTGATCTCCCATGTCACTTTTACCGTGGAGCCCCCCTAATTGAAACAAAAGGCCACCCAGTTGGCACCCTGCACTTCAACTTCTAATTTAAAGAATGAACGAAGCAGCCACCTGGAGTTAGCGTGAGTGTAGCAAGTGCTGATTATATTAAGACTTGAAAAATTGCACCCAGTTGAAAAAAATGTTTTGGATAAAACACCGGGAACACTTTTCATATGACTTATAAACTTTATGTTAGATGAACCTCTTTAAATTGAACACCTCCACAGTGGAACACATTAGAGGTCCTGGTACCAAAGGTATTCCAGTGTATGAAAATACAGGCAAAGTTAAAGGAATAAGAATCACCAGTTGACCTCAACAGAGGTCTACAATTGTATATTGTACCATAGACTCAGAGTGATAACTTCTTGTTTCCATTCCAGGCAAAATTACGTGAATTGGAACGAAAGTACGAACTACAAGCCATAAAACATGAAGAGCTTACACTTGAAATGACTGTTATAAAACAACAAACAGAACGTGCTAAAAATGTCAAAAATTCAAAATCGGTGTCTTCAATTGAGATTCAGACTGATGATGATGTCTTTCTACCTGATAAAAAACAACCTCGTTTGATGAATGGAATATCTTCGTTTGATTCAGGTAAGTGGAGTTTAATTGGAAAATATGTTCATTTCATGTATTGTTATACACAGCCAATATAATTCGACGCCGTTTCGGCATTGAAAAAACTGGCACTGTTCCGGCACCGTTTCGACACCGTTCCGGCACCGAAACCTTTCAACACCAAAATTTGTTACTGGACCAGTCAGTCCATTTGGTGCCGAAACGGCACCGAAATTTGGCACCGAAACGGCGTCGAAAATCAGATTGCATTTTATGTACATGCTTTTTTGCCTTGGGTGTATGATGGGGTGACCATGTTACAATATGGATGGGAATTCACCAGTTGATTTTTTCATTCATTTTTTCGTAACATGGCAACTCAAAAAATGCAACTCTAATTTTGGAATAAATAATAATAATAATTTCTTAATCATAGGGAATCTTCTTGAATTTTATTGTGAAGATTGTTCATTGTTTGGAACATTGGTGTATTGAAAATACATCAATGGATCAATCGATCAGATTATTCTATTTAGAGAAATCACATTTTCCACCTGGCTGTGCTAAGTTATTCCAAAATTAGATGATTCCATTTTTTGGGGTCACTCTGAATTAGTGAAATAATCATATCCTTGGGTTTAAGGCTAGAACATTTAATGTTTAGCATGTCCACTTCCCCTCATTTTTAATCTACATAATATATATGGTCTAATCAAGCTTAATTGTTGAAAATAATCAATGATAAACAGAATTTCAGGTTAAGTTTGATTGAAATAAATGTTAAAGTACCCTTTTGAGGTTATAAGAAAATGTAAAACAAATTCATGCTAAACATAGAATTTAATTGCTCTAGCCTAGGTTTACAGTGACCCTGGCTTAGGTGTGCATTTTCAACATACAGAAGTCTTGCTTCAAGCCCTTAACCCTCTTCCCCCACAGATAAAGGGGGGGGGGTTCCAGAGACATGGAGCACGACATAATTGTGCCAGTATAGTATTGCAGTTTTGAACATCAACTTTTTGTTTTTTTTAAAAGAAATGTGACACTTGGTTCATTTTTTTATTATCAGTTGTATGATGCCAATTAAAGGTGCTTGCTAGAATTATGCCAGTCGTCGCAAATAAAAGGTTGTGTAGGTCAAAAGATATTGTGATGATCATGTATTCTTCAGCGTGACATATTAAGTCTATAAACCAACTGGAGTTGCTTTTCTTTAGTATGGAGACATCTATTTTATCTTCATAAAACTTCATAATTGTGTTAGTAGATTTTTTATCAAAGTATAGATGACTGTTATTCTGGGATCGCAGTTTACTAGGCAATATAATGGAGAAATCATAAGAATACAGACAGACCACAGAATTGTTATTTTCTGAAAATATTCATAACATGTTGGGAGACTACTTATTAGGGTCATGACAATAGAAGACTTAAGCCTCAGTCAGATTTGCTCTTTGGATTCACATATAAAAATGTACATCGTGCTGCTTACATCCCTATATTTTAGGCTGCTTATTTCTCTTCATTTTGGGAAGCTAAGACTGCTGTGTGGCTGCCGTAGATCAAATCTGACTGAGGCATTACAGTGCAATCGATCTATTTCTCAGGAAATCTCAAAAATATAAATCCAATAGATGGGAGCAGTGAACGTTTTCTTCGTTAACATTTTATTTATTAAGGAAGTGCAGTACAATGAAAAATAAAAATGGCTCCTTCATTCAATTTTTTTGTTACACTGATTTTAGTTGCCTGGTCAGAATACACGCTTGTTTTCTTTATTCCTTGCTAATTCCACTCTTTTCCACTCTTTATTTCAAAACATGGCCAACATCAGATCATTTCTAGTTTAAAGTCCAGATCGATCAGATTCAAGAACCTTGAATCTCCAAGATGCGTCCATCTGATATATAATTGACAATTTTTCATTTGGAATCAATATCATTTTGTGTAACTTGAAATCTGGCTTATCTTCGTCTGTCAGGATGGTCTGTAAATTAGATCAGTTTCATAAGAATAATGCTTCCATTCGTCTAAATTACGATATACAGAAATCGCCAACTTTTTGACCTGTAGACCGAGTACTACTTACCATTCTCTGATAAGGAAAGACAATTTTTCAGTTTTGTGACTGATTTTCGACTGGAAAAAATGAAGGATCGTGGGTTCAAACCCCAGATTTTTTGTTGGCCCTTTTATTTAATTTTCTTTGGAATAACTGCTATAGAGTGAGCTAATTTTAGTAATACAATTTTGAATTTACAAATTTCTACATTTTTAATCATCAGTTACTTCACAATTTGAGATCACAGATCGTTTAGTTAGGGGGCTATTATTTTGGGAATTAGATAAAGGATGTATATGTACCAGGTATTTATTGGAAAATCATAGATGTTTTGGAATATTATCCTCAACATCCCTATACTTCATAGTATTTATTTCAATAAAGCATAGCCAGAATTCAAAAATAGCTGAGGCAAATTGAAATAGCTGAGGCAAATTGAAATAGGTGAGGCAAAACTTAAGTCAAAGAGGATATTATACTCTATGTGACATCATTTTCACATATATTTGGATGATAAAACATCTAATTCTGTAAAATTTTATTGAAGTGATATCTAGCCTGCCTCATAGATACTTCCTGTAGCAGACATGATTTGAGAGTAATTTATTTCACTGTAGCCTTATAAGCGGTTATTTGAGAAGAATTTATAATGACTTTATGTACTACATCCTTTCCATTATGGATATTATTTGGATACCTGAACATGAGTTGTCATGGTAACTATGATTCAAAATACTAAATACAGTGAATTATAGCAGGAAATATTTTAAAGGTTGAACATTTTACTCTCAGCCGATCAAAATGTAAGAAAATTTGGCTGTTCACTTTGGTTATTGAGAGAAAAGACATGAAACGGCAAACCTGACTGTCGGGGAATGTTTTAATCAAAGAAAGTCAGTTTTTGATGAGTTATTTTTCTCATATTTGCTATAATTCTATGGCAATCTCTAAATTAGCTTTTAGTTGATAACACTAGATGTCCAGCAATCCCATCACCCCCATTACATATGTATGAATCTGATTGGTCAATAGCATATGTCACATGGTTCAATGGAGTCCAATTGAAAACGTCCTCATCTGGACTGGGCAAAATAACCAATGTAAAAGGAAGGTTAATATTACGTGCTTCAATGAAAATATAATGGTCATTTTTTAAAACACAAAATAAAATACAATAGCTTGAAATTATCAAAAAGTTCAACTAACAATTATGACGTGAACACTCAAAAATGTATAGAAATACAAGCAATTTGGGAATATATCAATATTTCAAAACAAGGATTGTAAGATTTAAGTGCAATTATGGAGATATTTTTAGTACAGGCAGTGTCAAAATTGTTTTTATTGATCAAGATATTCCAATGTGTACTTCATAGAACAACCGACTCAATCTCTGGAGATCTGACCACTGAATGAAATTGTTCTTCTATCCAGGGACTTACATTGATGTTTAGCCTTGCTCCTTCATGCGGTTCTTGGCTTTTTAAGGTTGTATGATTCCCATGATTTGCAGATTTTCTTTACAGTTGAGAGCATAATTGCTCAGAGTTAAATACCAAGTTTAGTTCCTTCATTATGTTCCGAAGCATTTTAATACAAAAGCTTCATAACATAAATACTTTGTACGAAGCTTTTGCCAAACTGTAACAAAGCAATTAAACCCCACTGGTGGATTCAGAAAAAATTTATAGGGCCCAAAAAATTCTGTAGGACCTCACAAATGGGCCTTTTTAGCAAAACTTGGCCTTATTTGGCCTCTATGCCAAATAATCAAAAAATTGGCCTTAAATTTTCAAAATGCAAGCATGGAATTTTTTATCCTGATTTCAAATGTGCCCCCCCCCCCCTGCTAGCTTTTGGATCCACCAGTGAACCCTGCTATGTAACAAATACCATGCCATGTGTTTTAATTATGAGAATGACCTCTATACCCAGGACCATGAATCTAGATGTTCAGGGTTTTATTGGTTTAATCCCACTACTTAGGGACGAGGGATAGGTTTAGCTTTGACTAAAGTATAAGAACTTGATCTATGACTAATTCTTATTGAACATAAAAAGGTATGATACTGTCGTCTTCTTGATTAGTGGATGGGCAAAGCTAAAGGGTGATAATGTCTGACAAACAACATTGCGGATTGATTTGAAATCATTTTCTACATTGTTAAGTCACCACCACAAGTGGTAACATATCGTTAAGTCACCACCACAAGTGGTAACATTTGTTAAGTCACTACCACAAGTGGTAACATATTGTTAAGTCACCACCACAAGTGGTAACATATTGTTAAGTCACCACCACAAGTGGTAACACATTGTTAAGTCACCACCACAAGTGGTAACATACAGTATTGTTAAGTCACCACATATTGTTAAGTCACCACCTCAAGTGGTAACATATTGTTATAGTCTCCAACTTTTTTTATTTATTATTTATTTATGAATGGTGTTTGGCATTCAGCATTCAGGTGATGATATGCATTTTATGCCTCGTTGAGTATTGTATGCAGACTAACAAACCAATTCTGTTTGAGTGCAAGTTCACAAATCCTTCAGTACACCACCTGCAAAAGTTTGGCAAAACTAACTCACCCGCTGCCAAACATTTGGCGGGGAGTATACATTCTACTTGTTAAATCTTGAGCATTCTTCTGTCAATATGACCACATAAATTATTTATGAATTATATTTGTGTATATTATCATCAAACTTGACTGATGAAATTGTGATATTGATATTCATACTGATTCTTGAAAAGCAGCATGTAACAGTGAAGGCCTCGGACTGTATGATGAACCAAGTGAACCCATATATGACCAATTCTTATTTGTGAACCCATATATGATCAACTCTCTTGTGAACCCATACAGATCAACTTTGATGTGTGAACCCATATACCGTATTACCAATTCTTATATGTGAACCCATATATGACCAATTCTTATATGTGAACCCATATATGACCAATTCTTAT